TGTGTATATATATATATATATATATATATACACATATATATATATATATATATTTACTGTGTATATCCTTCAGAAACATCCTTGAATATCAACTAGGCAACACTTGTTGGAACATGTTCCTAAAATATTATAGTTTCAGTATATCTGTGGAAGCAGGTACAGAGTTTGTGCATTAGTAGTGCATAAGTAAATAAGATTTTTTTGCTACTGCTTGGAATTTATTGAATAGTTTGAAGTTTTATGAATCTGTTGCATCGCTGCATTGACATGTTGTTGTCAGAGCTCGGCAGAAGTAGGGAGTGTTTTGTGAGTCAAGAGTCTGATAACATTGCATCAGGCTCTTATTTACATGCAGGTTGTTTCTAGCAAGAGGTCTCTCAGAGTGTTACTTGTGAAACAGACAAGATAAATGATTGATATTTCTGGCTTTCACTTCACCACCTCTCATCTCTTTCCTTGTTTTTTGTCCTTTACATCACCTGGTTGTGGTGTGAGGAGTGTTTTTATTTTGGTCACTTAACAGGGTTTTCAAGAGGTTGTACACTAACATGCATGTCACCAATTAACACCAGTGTATAAAAGCACATGAAATGATATCCAATTGGATTTATTGGGATTTTAAAAGGTCACAGATGAGCGTGAGAAGAATCCACAGTGGGAGGGTTGAAAACTCAGATTGTTAATCCTACTTCAGCACAGGTTTTTCTTACTGAAATATCTGTCTGTTCTTATACTCAGGTCCGCCCAGGTTGTCTCCAAAATCCCAGCGAACACCACGGACTCACAGGGGCCCGCCTTGCAGGACCAGTGGTATACCACCAGGAGTAGACTTAATTACCCATAATGCTACAGGAGAGATCCCAGTGACTCCACCGACTAGGAACAGCTCTTCCGGAGGGACGTGGTCCTCAGTAGTTAGTGGAGGTAGAATCTTCTTTTTAAAAAATATGAATGCTGAATAAAATGGATACCTCACTGTGGAACATTTTTGTTGAAATACCTGTAAATGACATTAGACATCACAGTGCAATATCACAGTGCAATATCACATTGTCACATCACTGGAAGACCTGTCACAAAGAACAAGGCTTCCATATAAAGCAGACTTTTGATAGTCAATAATTGTTGTACATCTTCTGTCCTCAGCTCACAGACCTCGGTCTCCTCGACAGAACAGTATGGGCGCAGCCTCCCCTGGCTCCTCCTCCGTGTCGTCCCCACAAATAACAACCGCTCCTGTGGAAACTCTTGCCGCACCAACGTCAGCTTCTCCTATTGCTGCTAGCATCGCTCCCAACATGGTTGCGTCTTCATCAGGAGATGGTAAGATCATTGATAACTTTGAGTGACAAAAATGTGCCCAAACTTCTAAATCTTTATTTTAAAAACAAATATTCAGGCTCAATAACATTGATTTATTTTTTGGCTATATTGCAAATATTTCTGCTACAGATACCTAGTGTTTTTTGATTAAGGTCAGATTCTAACAAAAATAAGAAAAACCCCACTTCTCAGGGATGGGTTACGTCTTCGATGTCTCTGACCAGGGTTGTGGTGTTGTTTTAATTTTGGAGGTGGAGCAGTTCATGATTCCATCTTGTCTGTTGTTTCTCTCAGAAGGAACTGGATGTTGGCTCAGCTCTCGTGTCTGGACAGTGTAAACATTTTTTCCCCTGTATTTTGTGTAGCAAAAGAATGTCGTATTCAGGAGAACAGACAAACATCCCCCACTGCAAACAAAGAGAACATCAAGCCCTTGGACAGCTCACCTAATATCAGCAGACCAGTCTGTAAAGGTACAGCACACATTGTACATCAGCAGCATTATCACAGTGACTTGATGAAAAGGTTTTTTATGTTCAGACACTTGTTTTTTTTTGTTTACTTAACATTTTTACATATGTTTGCCTCATGTGTTTTCAAAATCATTGCAATTACTGATTGTTTTTCCTCCTTTTATTTGCCTTTCAGGACCCCCTTCTATGGCACCAGACCACAGAAAACAAATAGATAATTTAAAGAAATTCAGTGTAGATTTTAGGGTAAGTAATTAGTGCATTTATATTTAGTATAAATATGCTTTAAATCTTGCTAAACTAGTATTGTTTGCTAAACTAAGTAGGTGTTTGTAAATACATTCTTTTTTCTTCATCCGTCCCTTCAGTTGCAGTCTAGTTCAAATCCAGACCCCACCTTTGACCAGATGATGACCAAGCCTCCCAGAGATCCAACAGACAAACCTAAAGATCTTCCCACGGACAAAACATCCACAGTGGGACGAGATGGCACCGAGGAAGGGGGCGCAGTGATCGCTGCTGGCGGCCTCAGCACCGCCACCACTTCATCCAATGCTACAAACACCAGTAAACCTGGCAGCCCTGCTGCGCTCTCCCTGTCTCCATCAACCCTGGACACCAAGAGGACAGGGATGGATGTGACTTCACAGGGGGTTCAGACGACGGGCACGTCCACATTCAGTGGACCCAAGCATGAAGAGAAAGAGGACAAAAAGGAGGCAGTACAAGAGTGAGTACAGAAATGTGTTTAAATGTCTTGGTGTAATTATCAAATGTGTTAGAGTTTGTTGTTTTAAAACTACACAGAACATTTAAATAAAAAACCAAAAACAAAACAGTGTCAGTGTGTAGTGAAAGTAGTAAACGACGCAATGAATAACTTTACACCTGTAGCCAGACTTGTTGTCTCTTAGCCTGTTTTATGGTATAAATATATTTAGCCTATGTTTAAGGCCATTATGTAAAACAAAAAGTGTTTCCAGATTAACTATTCATTTTTGGATACATGTGAAGTAAATGTTTCAAAACTAAATACCACTTGACTGGTGCCACATGTTTTTCTTTTGCTCTTTGCAACACGTGTTTTGACAGATGCGACAAGTGTGGTGCAGTGTGTAGTCAAAGAATCTTTAAAAGTTGTTCACTGTGGCAGTTTGGTTATTTCCTTCTGCAGTCAAGTAAGAAAATCAACCCTGAATCCAAACGCCAATGAGTTCAAACCCCGGTTTAACACACAGGTAGTATGTTGGACTTACACCTTCATGTGTCAAACTGAAGATTTGAATTTTTTTATGTTAATATTTTATTTTTGCTCTTTCAGCCCAAGCCAGCCAACACCCCGACCCCTCCTCGGCCTCAGGGTCAGCCCAGCCCCTCCATTGTTGTACAGCAGCCCCCTACAGTCTATGGTCAGCCAGTCTGCTTCCCCCAAATGTACCCGCTCACTCCAGTCAGCCCAGGAGTGCAGGTAAGGCTCAGGTGCATGTTGGGACCTGCAGCTCTATGCAGTGCTGTTCAGCTTCAACTGAATTCATATAAACTATAAAATGTCATTATTCAAGTAGTAATAATTAGTCAGAGGTCTACAGTAGGACTGCTTATTTCTGTATTACTGTTTTTTCTTTTATCCATCTTTGGTCCATCATCATTTCCCTCCGTCCTCCTCTTTTTCCTCCCCTCATTTTCTTCTCTACACACTACACATCCTCTCTCAGTCTTTGCTGTTTGATTTAATTTTACTGCATCTTCAAATGTAGAGGAGCATGTGTACTATGTGTGTACTCTGTTTCTAATGAGAGTTGTTTTACTGTCATCTTGTTTGTATGTTGCTTTAAGAAACACTTGGTGAGCCAACATCAGACAGACCTGTAAAAGTAAACCTTAACTTGATGAACAACTAAAGAGTTCTTGTTTCCCTTTTCTCCTCCCCCCACCCCCTCCTCCCTTTCTCTCCATTAGAAAAGCATAATATGGAAGGTTTGTGAAGATTTCTATTTTTTTTCCTCATTTTTGGTTAAATCTGCCCAGTCTTATTTCTGATATGTTTTGCCTGCTTGTTGAAATAATGCCATCAGATGTTGGTTTGCCAACTTCTTAATGCAATTCATTTGACACAGATGGCTTCGTCCTATTTCTATTGGCTTCATGTCTTTGACTAAACAAATGGCTGCGAGCTAACGGGAGGATTACGCCCCTTTGTTTTGGCCCAGCACTTTTACGATTACATTAGAACATAAATGCATGGTGTATGATATAAAAGACCAGAGGATAAAGAGCAACATCCTGGTCACAGCTGTAATTAGACAGATGTAGATGTTGCATGTTTCCCCCTGGTAAGAGAGAAGTGATAGTCATTAAAAATGGGATCATTAAAAAAACCCACAATATGAATTTTAAGTTAAGTTTTCCATGTTTTGTCTACTTAAATACATGTTTAAAAAAAACAGTAAAGGTCAGTTTTACACCGTGATGCTTACGTCTCCTGAATTTACTGAGTGTAACCTTGTTTTTTTTAACCCATTTCTTCCCTCCAGTCTCCAGCCATGTACCAGGTCCAAATGCCCCACATGGCGGTCAGCCAGTCTAAACCTTACAGACCAGGTAAAGGTGAGAAGGACTAATTATCCTTTTTTTCTCTTTAAATTTTAATTTTAATCTTCACAAAAAAAATCTGAATTTGCTTCATTTTTATTCTTTAAAGGTTCCTTTATTGTTTTATGTACTGTATATAGTAAGGATTATTTTGTATGTAAATGTTGTATTTGTAATTCTGCAAGTTTTGTATCTATATACTTACTATATAATATAATAATAATAATACATATTTAGTATGTACCTATGTCTCTCACTGTCTGCTGGGTTATTAAAACATTATCTTTTGGCTTAATTAACACTAATATGTGTTCAAAAGTCTGAAAGTAACTCCTGCTCAGAGCTGACTTCAGGCTTAGATCACATAGCCGGTCGCCTAGAGTACCACCTGCATTCCCTTCTGTGTGTTTGCCTCTATAACCAGTAAATATACTGTACATGCATGATATTTATATCACTATATTTCTTAGACAATACCATAGAAAGATCAGCTGTAAATAAATCCATTAAAAAATGTAAATACCATATATTTTTAATTACCCCTTGTTTGTGTTTTCCTTGATGATTTATGTTCTTTGAATGTCTTTATCTCCAGTACCCAACATGCCCCAGCAGAGGTCAGACCAGCATCACCCCCAAGGAACCCCCACCATGATGCACCCAGCCACCGCAGCTGGACCACCTATTGTAGCACCAAACCCCGCCTATACTGCCCAGTACTTCACCTGCAGCCCACAGCAGTTCACCAGTCAGCCACTGGTCCAGCAGATGACCCACTTCCAGTCACAGGTCAGGGATCATCAGTCTCTTTACTAACAATCCCCTTGAATAACCCCTTAGCTATGATCTACTGAAGTAAGAAAATGGACTTAGGGACAATTCTGCCCAGTTTCTCCACCACTGGGTGCACCACATGACTGAATAATTAAACTGAACATTGGTCATGTTGTGTGTTCTTCAGGCGCAGCATGTGTTCAGTCCAGTGATGCAGGGAGCTGCCAGAATGATGGCTTCCACACATGGACAACCCAGCCTCGTCTCTTCTTCAACCACACAGTACCCAGAGCAGACACACACCATGTATGGTGAGTTCACCCACTGCTCTGTATTAATCTGCCAGTCTGGGCAAAACCATACACTGTTAGGTCTTCTATTTGTTCTTTTATTTGGATTATATACTGTATGTACAAAAGTTCATTTTATTTCTCATGAATGTACACTCAGCACCCCATCTTGACAGAAAAAACTGAAAAGTAAATTTTTGCAAATTTATTAAAAAAGAAAAACTGAAATATCACATGGTCATAAGTAAATGGACAGCATGTGAGTTAAATGTGAGTGTCACAGCAAAGGGTCTGAATACTTATGACCATGTGATATTTCAGTTTTTCTTTTTTAATAAATTTGCAAAAATTTACTTTTCAGTTTTTTCTGTCAAGATGGGGTGCTGAGTGTACATTCATGAGAAATAAAATGAACTTTTTTTATTTTAGCAAATGGCTGCAATGAAACAAAGAGTGACAAATTTAAAGGGGTCTGAATACTTTCCGTACCCACTGTATACATATATACCTTCCAGTGGACTCACCACCTGCAGGAAGGTTCAGGGGGGTTGGTATGGTGCAATGTGATCTGGGTGGTGGTCATGGAGACTGATGCCACCGCAACCCGGTAATGGATATATATACATATATACACATAGATGTATATATATATAAATGTACATATATATATATATGTGTGTGTCTATATATATATATATGTGTGTGTGTATTTATATATAATATATGTGTATATAAATATATGTGTAAATATACTTTTTTTATTTAATTTTATGAACATTATTGATCCATTACTGGGACATATTTTTGCTAATAGTAAAGTGGACAAATATATACAAATATATAGTTGAATGTGTTTGTGTGTATTTACTGTATATTCTGTATATATATATATATATATATATATAGTGTGTGTATATGTACAATATATACATATATGTATGTATATATGTATTCATTTATGTGAATGTGTTGCCATTTATGTTTGAGGTGTGTGTATTTATGAATATGTATTTGTGTGTGAAAATGTGTTATGTCCTAATGTGCTATATGTCTAAATGTATTTATATACAGTACATTTTTATTGGTTTTAATATGTCCTAATTATTTGTGTGATTTTTCTTAAACTCATATTTGTCTGCTCTGTTCATTTCCTCTGTGTTCTTTGGGTGATGTTTCTGTTACAATTAAAGCCAACAAAACAAAACAAAAAAGTAAAGCACTGAATAGAAGAGCAGTCAAGACAAACTCTTATTCATTTCACTGGGTTCTTGTTCCTCAGTGTCTCCAGGGCCGATGCCTCAGCAGTACGCCCACGCTAGCGCTGCCTTGCACCCTCACCCACAGCACCCACAGCACCCACAGCACCCACAGCCCTCTGCCACACCTACAGGCCAAGCTCAGCAGGGTGGTCCCCCACAACACGGGGGTCCTCCCAGTCATCCAGCTGCTAGTCCAGTCCAGCATCCACAGCACCCACAGGCAGCAGCAGGTCAGTGTCCAGACCATCTTCAGACCATGTACCGGACTCTAGGTGGATACACTGGCGTTTTTTACTTCTTTTAACCTCTGTATGTGAACCATAAACGGTTGAAGTCATGTGTTGTGTTATTGTGTGTTTCTGTGTGTGTGTGTGTGCTGTAGCAGCAGCAGCAGCAGCCCAGGCTCTCCACTTGGCCAATCAGTCTCCACAGCAGATGTACTCAGCTCTGGCCCACACACCCCCCTCCATGACCCCAGGGCCCAACCCTCAGTCTCCACAGGCATCTTTCCCCCCTGGCCAGCAGACTGTTTACATCCATCAGCAGCAGGTGCCGCACGGCTATAACCCTGGCCACATGGCTCACGTGCAGCAGGTAGTTCACAAAGATCTACAGAAACTCTCACTTCCTGTACGAGGGGTTATTTTTGGTCTCAGAGTGACCTTGGAAGTTAGAAGCTAAAAAAGACATATTTGTCTCTCCCCCCCCGTCTCCTCACCCCTGTCCTAGGCCCATATGCAGTCCAGCATTGTTCCATCCCACCACCCAGCACCCACCCACCCTCCCATGATGCTGATGACCACTCAGGGTCCTCCTGGGGGTCCACAGCAGCCCATGCCTCAGACGGCCCTCAACCCCATCCCTGTTTCTTCTACCACACATTTCTCCTACCTGGCACATGCACAAGGTACGGTATGAATATTTTCTACTTCCAAAATACAAAAATACAGTTGTTTTTGACCTGTAGCTGAGAAATGAAGAGACCTGACCACTACCTAAGACAGCTGACTCTGAGTCTGTTTCCTGTGTGAAGAACGAATCCTAAAGTTTGACTGCACTGATATTATATGTAAAAATAATGATAAAATCTGTATATACAGGAGTTCCCCGAGATGTTCGTAAAATGCCGTATTGCGTTTGCAAGTTGGTATTTTCAATCCCCTCCACAACGTATTATTGTTCCGCAACCAATGCCAAGCACCACCCCTTCATACGCACATCTCCAACACTCATCTCGCCCAGTTTGTTCTTGCACGTGAGCATCTCAGCGCGTCAGGCTTTGTACCCCCCTTAGATACTTTACGGTTTCTGTACAAGTTAACCTTATTTATGAAGTCTCCTAAGAAATCTCTGGTGACGATTTCTCCGAGAACGACTCTACCTCTCACCAACAATAACTCCTCCTCCTCCTCTTCCTCCTCCATTGTCTAACGTATGCACATCGACTTTGCTGTAACGGACTTACAAACAGCCTCTCCGAACCCACTGTGTTCGTGAGCTGGACACTCTGTACAGACAAATAAATGTAGCTGCGTCTTAAAAATGTACAGACATAAACCATATTAATACAAAGCAACTCCTTCTGTTGTCCACCTGATTACAGCATGATTACAGTCTGTCATTACGACTGGAACTTTGTGTCTGTGGGATGTCGTCCACCATCCAGGCCACACCGTTGCCTCTGAATAAGCCTCAAATCCACCTTCTCCCCCACTTGTCTTGTCTCTGCAGTGCAGCCTCATCATCAGCAACAGCTGTAGATAGAGGTCGCCTGTGAGCTGAGGGACCCCGGCTCTCCATAATGCTTCTCAACCGAAGAGGTTTCATCTGCAGGCGATGAAGAGAATGAAAGTCCTTCCTCTCTCCTCTGTGCTCATCCTCACCAAGACATGCTTCACATCAGCTTCTCTCTCCGCTTCTTTCTTTTTTCTCTCTCTTTCCTTCCTCCCTCCCTCCCAGACTAGGCAATAAGAGAATGTTAACAGGTTGATGCAGTGACATGTTTTAACAAACTAGAGTTTTTAACGGACGAGGCTTCTCATATTTAACTCCTTTTAACACACACAAACACACACACGATCACACACATATGAACACACACACACGAACATACAATTCCAGGGGTACAAACTACAAACTTGAGTGAGCTTTGCCAAGTATGTAAATGAGATCGAGGGTAACCAATCAGTAAGAACGGAGAAGAAAAATCAACAAGAACTTGTATTTGTCTGCACCTTGTTCTGGAGAAAAGAGGAAAAAAACTCAAATCTTCCAACATGACAACAGTATTAATCCTACTGTTTACTGCTGCTGCTTTGTGCTGCGTTTGTTTCCAGAGTCCACCACAGGTTTCTAACCAAACTAAAACGAATGACATGGAAAAGGCGTTGGCAGCCATGAGACGGGGAGAAACCTTATTTATGAAACTCTAACGGCTGAGGTGATCAGATCCCATTTTATCACCTGACCCTTATGTAACTTTTAAGTTAAAACTTTTACTTTGTAGATATTATAAATAATTTAAAAAATGAGCAAAAAAATTTAAAAACAATAAAAAAGTTTTAAAAACTGAATGCCTGGTCGTTGTATTTTCATTGTTTTTTTTTTTTTTTCATGTGTTCTTTCTGTTACTACACACAAGAGACAGTGGTATGAAAAATTCTGGGCACCCCTGATCATTTTCAAGATTTTCCTTTATGGATCATTGGAGGGGGGGGGGGTTAAAACAAAGATTGTTCAACATCATGGTTGAGGGGCAGGATACAAAAAGCTAGCTCAGAGATCTCAGCTGTCAGTTTCCTCTGTGAGGAACATAGTGAGGAAATGGAAGACCACAGGCACAGTTCTAGTTAAGGCCCGTAGTGACAGGCCAAGAAAAATCTCAGATAAGCAGAGGTGAAGGATGGTGAGAACAGTCAAACTCAACCCACAGACCAGCTCCAAAGACCTACAACATGAATCTGCTGCAGATGGTGTCACTGTGCATCGTTCAACTATTCAGCGCACTTTGCACAAGGACATGTTGTATGGGAGAGTAATGTGGCAGAAGCCTTTTTTCTGCGCCCATGCCACAAAAAGAGTCACTTGAGGTATGCTAAAGCACATTTGGACAAGCCAGCTTCATTTTGGAATACGGTGCTGTGGACTGATGGAACTAAAATTGAGTTATTTGGACATGACAAGGGGCGGCATGCATGGCGGAAGAAGAACACAGCATTCCAAGACAAACACATGCTACCCACAGTTAAATTTGGTGGTGGTTCCATCATGCTGTGGGGCTGTGTGGCCAGTGCAGGTACTGGCAATCTTGTTAAAGTTGGAGGTCACATGGATTTCAGTCAGTATCAGCAAAATGAGGATCTACTAAATATTGATGTAATTTTTCTGTTGAGGTGCCCAAATTTATGCACATGCCTACTTTTATTTAAGTAATTATTGCACACTTTCTGTAAATCCTATAAACTTCTTTTTAATTCTTAAACATCACTGTGTTTGTTTGCTATATGATATATTTAATTGAAATTGCTGTTCCCAACAACCAATGATCCATAAAGGAAAATCTTGAAAATGAACAGGGGTGCCCAAACTTTTTCATACCACTGTAAAACAAAAACATCTTTGCATTGTTTAACAACACAATTGAACACATTTTTTTTAAAAAAACTCCACCAACGCTTGGATGTTGAATGATGAAAAATATCTAAAATTACAGGAATAAAGTCATTACGTTTTGAGAAGTCATACATTATGAGAATAATTACGAGTATTTTGTATTTGCTATAATAAGGCTAACACAATGTTGTAATCGAACGTCAGTGTTCAATTGGGCTGATTGGAGAACGTTGTTGTGACGTCAGTCAAAACAGTATTTCAAAGAAAGTGGCTGCCGTGCCCTGTCTTTTGAAAAACAAAAACAGTGTGAAGGCTTGGTACTGTAGTGTAAATGCGAGGGTGAATGAGTGTATTGTTGGTGAGTGTATCTCTGTGGTATGTCATTGTATGTACGTAAGTATGTCTTTTTTCCCCAATATTTAAAGTTTAATATGCATTAAACTTTCCATATGCTGCCTGTTAATTCATATGGCCCACATGGTACACAGGTCCACATTCTTTGGTCCACCATCGTTCGTTGGTTAATCGTTCTTGAAAATCAAAGAACACATATAAATATATACATATATGTGCATATATATGTATGTATGTATATATATATATATATATACATATATATATATATATATATATGTATATATATATATATATATACATACATACATATATATGCACATATATGTATATATTTATATATATATAAAATAACATTTATTTAAATATAATTTAGATGCTACTAAGTGAAGGGGATTCAAACACACCGACAGGTTGTTTTTTTTCAAAGCTGTGTACGTTGTGTACGTTTTGTTTTCACTGGCTGTCGAGAGGGTGTGGGGTCAAAGTGGAATGTTTACAGTGCTAAGTTAACAAAGAGAATGAACAGTATTGAGAAAACAATTATCACACAGGGCGAGAGGAGGTCAAAAGTGGAACAGAGGCTGGGTCTGAGGTACATGGGGTAGAGTGGGGTGGGGTCGGTGGGGCATTAACTCGATTCTGAACCCTAGGACGATTAGAAAGCAAGAGGCAGCATGTTAGAGAAGGCAGCGGTCCTGGTTTATAACGCAGCGTGTTTATCAGGAACATTGATGGTTTTTTTTTATTTTTGTTTTTTTTTTATTCAGTAACTTTGAGCAGTTGCAAATACTTTTATACCTATATTCTATCCATCTGCTGCTGCTCGTGCGGTACACACACACACTGGTACACACAGAAGCAGGTGTAAAGCACTGGGCATTTCTCTTATATTGCACTACACATGTTCTACATCACATCACACCCTGAGCTTTCCAGAAAAAGGGGAAAAGTAACAGCAGCTTTCTGGCAAAGGCACAGTCCTTTTCCCTCCGACAGAAGGCAAAGACACAGGAGTCAAAAGTCCAAATAGTTAACACTACCGTTGCTTTCCTTCAGCACGAATGAAACAAGAGTTACGCTTTGACTCGGGCGCATGAATGCAGGAAAACCAACCGTACTTTTGCCAAAAACATCCTTGTTTTTGTTCCCCTTCCAAACACTTGACACACGTCAACATCAAACAGATAATACATTAAAGAGGACACAACCATTGTAAAAATGTTCCTTTGGCGACGTGTCGTTGTACAATAGAAGAAGTTCACATCACATCACTTGTTTATTCACTTAACAATAAAGAGAAGAAGGACAGAGAAACAGACAGACGTAAGCGTTAGCCACATGACGTCTACAAAATAAACAGCTGAAGTTAGTGTTAAAGCCACGTTAGAAGACAGACACTTAGTCTTAGCACGTTCTCTTCCAATGCTATCCCACTGGACGCTACTGGACGCTACTGAAACAAATGTGACCATGCTTGGTCGTCATCGTTGGACAAGGTTGGTTGTTAGTGGCTACGACTGAAGAAATGTGTTGAAGACACATTTCTTTGATGTTTCATTTTAGTAGGAAAGCCTTTCAAAATTAGTTGGAAAAATAGGTCAAAAAATATATAGATATCATTTTTATATCATTTTTATAAAGAAATCACCTGAGTTGAGTGATGACATGTTCTGTATTCTCCACCAACTGTGTGCAAGGAATGAATCGTCGTCAATTTTTGCAAACTGGAAATTTTGAAGTATTGCAGAAAAAAAAAGGTCCTCACTGGTTGGAAACTGTGTGTGATTGGAAATCTCATAAAATTTATCAAAGATTCTCAAACTATGGTTCACGTACCACTGGTGGTGCTCAGGCTGAGGTTTTAAAAATCAATTTATACTTCTGGCTGAAGTTCCAGTTGCAGTGCTACACTGTGTTAGCTGAACTTCTGTGTTTAATATTATTAACATACTGGTGATTAACTCAGCTCAGTCTAATACACAGTTCCTTAATGAAGTGTGTCACCTGAGTGAGAAATCATTTCTCCTCAGATTTCCACGCACACACACACATACATCATACGTACTAACACAGACCACATCCACGTCCCCATACACAGTCAGTGATTTCTGTTGGCACATCTCAAAGCTGGCAGTTTGAATCTCGGATAATCTCTGTTTTTGACAAAGGCACTTGGAAATTTGGAATAGAATTCTGGTACAGAGAGAAGCAGATGTAGAGGGAATATGTGTCTGATCATCACTTGTGTGGACACTTCGTCAGAGAAGTTGGGAGTGAAGGAGTGAAGGCATCACTTCCACAGTAAAATAATAATAATAATAAGAGGCAATTAATGCTGTTGATTTAAGATGTTAAATCTGATTTTCCAACAGAGACAGTCTTTGATCGTCAGTGTCTGATTTCCATAAAGAGTCTTGACGTTGTTTCCTCTGCTCCAACAACAAACCACATTTCTGAGACTAATGTGGAAAATCCACACAAACAAAATGGTCAGAGTTCAGCATTAGTGACTATGAACAAAGTCTTTGGTGACAGTTCATATTCGTTAATGCTTCCAGTTAATGGTCCATGGATTGTGTGCTACCAGATGAAAATAAATATAATTATTGTTATACACAATTATATTTGTTAAAATTCATCAGAAAGCACAAAACACAGGTTGTGACCTTGAACTGAGCTCTCTCTCTCTCTCTGTGTGTGTGTGTGTGTGTGTGTATTGTTGTTGTCATGGCACAGTTTTAGTTTCTGTGATTCAGACATGAGGTGACGCTGATTAAAAACAACATAAAAATTCAATCCAGAAGTGACTAATGCAACACAAACTCACACAGGGACTAATGCAAATACTGTACCACACACACACACATTAGCCAATAAACCACAACATCATTCACAAATACACATTGTTACCAAAGTATATATGTGTATATATAGATACATATATACACACATATATTTATGGAGCTATATATAAATATATATACAAGAATATGTGTATACACTCAAACATATATATATATACACGTATGTATGTATATTAATACATATATGTGCACATATACGGTATGTAAAAATATACGTGTGTGTATATATGTATATATATTCATATAAAACAATGTGTTCGATGAGAAAAATCTAAAGTATAAAAACATTCGACCATGAAGTGTTTGTTGTTTGTTGTTGATGTTTATCTGGCAGTTTGCTCCACACACTTGTGAAGAAGACCAAGTGTGAAATGTCGTTTCTTTTCTTTTTTTTTTTAATGTCCTAAAGGGGGCACTTGACTAAAGCTGTGTCACAATCAGCTCAGGTCAAGTGTCCCAGAGGTTAAATAAAGATCACCTTATTCAATTTATCTGAAACATAATAATAAAAATGAAAATAATAATGTATCATTTTCTGTTGTGTAAAGGACAGCTTTAGGTGCTGCTCCCTCCCTCTCTCCATCTTACACACACACACACACACACACATACAAATGTGTGTGTGAGAGGAATTGTCATGTGTGTCCAAACTGTAATTATTCTCACAAAAATACATTCACAATGGTCAACTGAGGGGCGTGACCTAGATATTTAGACAGCGACAACTGTGCTCATTCTGATGAGTCTGCAGCTCTTAAATCGCTGTGTGTGTGTGCGGTGACCCCCGATGGACACTTGTGTCTCAGCAGGTCACAGCAACATGTACTGGTTATCTTTCGCCAGCTTCTGGCCGTGCTCAGGCTCCAGCTCATAGTCTGAGTCACCCTGGCGGATGATGGGAGAGTGAGAGGCAGGGTGGTGGAGAAGAAGCCCCCTCCCCACCGACTCTCTGTGATGCAAGAGAGCAGGAGAGAAAGCTGGTGCACGAGGCTCAGGGGCGGGGTTGGTGCGGGGTCTGGCCATGGTCTGGGCATGGTTTCCTGACTGGGACGCAGAGCTGGGACTGGACGAGGTGCGGCAGGGTGACATCGGGTGACTGAAGCTACGGGTGAGGCTACAGTGAGACAGGCTGGGCTCTGAGCTCCAGCGGTGGAGGGAGAACGGGACCAGGACGGCACCTGAGGAGAGTGGTTCACAGTCAAACACGGAGGCTAACATTCACCATTGTATTTATTTTTTAATTGATTTACGTTTTGACAGAAGGCCGTGCAGCAGGGCCTCACCCTGTGATGGGGGACTGAAGCCGGCCACTACAAAGTTGGAGAGTGTGACTCCCTCCACTGTTTCGCACTCCAGAGGAATGGGGAACAGGTGGAAGTGGCTGAGCATGTCCATAACAGAAGGGAAATGCAGGTGCTGGACCCTGCACTGACCCCACTCTGTCAGAGAGAGACGCAGGTGCTACAGAGACACAGAGGGCGCCAGAGTTTACTACAACGTCCATTTAAAGTGAAGAACCTCCTGGATGTCACCTGACGTTGGGCTTGCGTCTCGGACACTGACAAAGGTTCACACTCACATTCTGACTGAGGGAGGACACCAGACCACCAGGACAGAACCCACTCAAACACACAAGGAGAACAACATGAAAACAAACCAGTGATCTTTTAGCTGCAAGGCTAAAGTGCTAACTACTGCGTGGCCCCTTCCTAGGTTTTATTTGATTTTATTATTAAGTTAAACATTCAAAGACAAACCTTTGCTTTTCCCTTGTGGTTAAATGTGAGGACGTAGTCTCCCCTGCGCGTCTCACTCTGTCGCACCAGAAACACTCCGTGTCCCTCTGGCCCAGAGTCCTGGACCAGGTTTGCTGCTTTGACTCGGGAGATGGGCCCATGGAACCATGGGTAGGAGAAGAGGAAGTGGTCCGTCCTCTGTATCACCTGCTCTGGTGAAATAAAGGTCACTGGACCTTGGAGGAGCAGAGCAACAAAATGATTTAAACATCACTAACGTTGACCACGTCTCTCCTGTTTTTATCTGTGCAGGAAGAACTTCCACTTACTTTGAGCAGCTGATGCTGACCTTCCTCTGCAATTGTCTGAAACCAAGCTTTCTGCTGAGGAAAGGAGCAGCTCCAGATCCACGCTGCCTGACCTGGGACACAGTTAGATTCAGATGAGGCTCAGACAGACAGATAAGATTGTTTAGGTCAGTGGTGTCAAACTCATTTTCACTGGGGGCCACATCAGCAGTATATTTCCTGTTGAAGGACCGGTTTTAAATGGAAGACTGTATAGATCAGGGGTCCCAAACCCCCGGTTTGCGGACCAGTATTAGTCCATAGGTAGTAACGGGTGGTACTGGCTGACCAGTCCTTGGAACAAAAAAGGTTGGGGACCGCTGGTATAGATGTAACTACTCCATAACAGACTGATACATGTTTCTGCAAATTATTATTATTTATTCAATCTACAAATATTGTTCATTGCTGTGTAATAAAAAAAAAACTTAAATGACTTTTAAGCTCCCGCGGGTCACACAAGATGGCTTGGCGAGCCGCATTTGGTTCCTGGGCTTTAAGTTTGACATGTATATGTATATATGTAGTCTGTCAAATACTGTACCGTTATTATATATATATTTCATCTTTATTATATGACGTTATATATTTCATATTTATTATATGTCATATATTTTAGTTCTATTATATAATGTCCTATATTTCATCTTTACAATATGATGTCATATATTTTATCTTTATTTTATGATGTCATATATTTCATCTTTATTATATGATGTCATATTTCACCTTTATTATATGTTATATATTTCACATTTATTATATGATACCATTTACTGAATTATAATCATAGTCTAAATAGCACAAAACGTCATCATATTTTTTCATTTACCGCTGACTTTGAACACATTTGATAAACAATTTGAAAAAACATTTAAAATTAAAGGTCACCTATGAACAAGATGGTTGATATTTTTATGTCAGTTTTACGTACGTTCTCTTCTCAGACAGTCATGCTTTATCTTCTATTTTCTTCAAAATGAGAGCAGAGGAGACTTTTTAAAAAAAAATTCCATCATTTAAGGAAAACTTCACATGGAGCCTATATTATATTCAGGAAGATGTATTGTGGGTGTGACTGTTAGCCTCTCATCGAAATAGACCTCATGTAACAACAACACAATAGCAGGCACTCTGAACTGCTGATTTGTGTAAAAGCAAATCAGGTCCTTTGTGCATGGGTTTGTTTTCACCCTCAGTCTGTGTCACAATCGATTGATGTTTATTACTCCAACTACGTGGGGGCATTTCTGCCAATCAGCAGTGTTTTAGGTTAAGTTATGTGCGAAGTAAACAGCTACCACATCCAACCACATCTAAGATGAGGCGTGTTTCAACCTATTCCAAATAACGCCTGCTTGCACAGCATCCTTTATCCTGGCTGTCTCACATTGCCTGTCCGAGCCTGCCTGAGCTTTGTGTGGTTTCAGCACGATAAATCAAATCATACAAACTGGGATAATATCACGCACTTAAAAGAGACACTGGGTCCTTTTTCCTGGCGTTCAGACATTTTTAGGCTCAGTGATAAGTGGATCAGGTTTGTTAGCTTGGTTGGTGTGTGTGGCGGTTTGATGAACATTTGCTGTGCTGCTGCTGCAGTAATTGTCACTGTTACCACGGGGACGGCTTGAAAGAGCACACGACTGTCCTGAGTCTTTTTTTGTGCGTCTGTCTACTTGTCTGAAATCTAAAAGTTCTCCAAGACACAGGTCACCTTGTACTATATCTGACAGTGGAGACCTAAACCCATGCTTTTAGGTCCCCACTGTCCTTGTCTGTAGGTCCAAGGTCTTCTTTACAACCAAATCAGAGTGTGATTTTTGACAAAGAACCAAATTTCTCTCTAGTTTCTACCTCTTGTCATAACAATAAAAAACCCTCAATGCCTCTAATATACTGACCAAGTAGCAAAACATTTGTTACAAATTTCCATGTTTTTAACCATATTTATATATAAAAATATAGACTAAAAGAACCTTTATTGTTGCTGCAAAAACCTAGCACCACAGTGCAACAAAATATGAGTAGAATCACACTTAGTATTTAGCATTGAGGCCATGATACCACTGTAACCCAGTAGCTAAGTTCACAAAGGTGAAAGAATATCTTTCACCATCCCATAATTACCCTGTAACTTTTGTTATAGAGATGTAAATGCCATATGTTTGGATGTGTAAAAAAACAACTGTTATAACAAACTGTATAGTGGTGGCTTAGTGGTTAAGGAAGCAGACTTGGGTCTGGAAGGTCTAGGTTTAGGTTTAGGTTTAGGTTTGAGTCCAGCAGCTGCCAAGTTACCACTGAGGTGCTCTGAGCATGACACCGTCCCCACTCACTGCTCCCCTTAAAGCTGCCCACTGTTCACTTTGCTGATGGGTTAAAAACAGAGGTCACATTTGGTTGTGTGCAGTGGTGAGCTGTGTCACAGTGACAAGGAGTTCACTTTCCTTACTTTCCTTTCCATTATGTCAAGTATATAAATCTGTATTAGTCCAGCAAACACACACACCATGATGTTTTTAGTATTCAGTTCCATAGTGCAGCGGTGTCCTGGGTTCGATTCCCAGAGGAACAACATGCTTGGTGCCTGCTCCTGGTGGACTGTTAACAGCATATCTGCTGCTAACACAAGAATTTCCCAAATATGGGATCAATGTCAAATGTCAAATTTCTCTTTTTTTTCCCCCTTTCTTTTCTTTTATGAATCTTTACAGTATTTAGACGTTGTCAACAGTAACGTGTGAACTCAAGTCTTTACTCAAGTTTTTATTGCACTGCATAGTTTGTGTGTGTACGCGTGTGCACATTCCAGACATCTGCAGAAATGAGAAAGGTCCTGAGATTCTCCTGAGTCGGAGACCTCCCACACACTTCCTTTCCCAGAGCAACACACACTCATACACAAATATAGCACCGATGCTCACACAGACTGTGTGGCCGGTGGAAAGACAGAAACAAAAAAAGGGCCTCGCTTTCATTTGTTCAAATAATACCCACATCTTTACTATCAATAATTAATAACTACATTTAGGATTTTGACTGAAAATGAGATATAATCAAAGTCTTGCTTAAAGGACGAGTCCCAGAATGCTTCCAATATTTTTGGGTTTTTACAAAATGGAAAAACAAGCTCTATTGTCTCTCGAGGGCCCCGTTGAATAATGTTTTATTCAGTTGATATTCTGTTTGAGGAACACAAATTCAGGATTTGTTTTGTTTCTTTTCAGAGAGGGAGAACAACAGGAGCAACTTCAAATTCTTTTTTTATAATGTAATATAAAGGTTTCATTTAGTTTTCCCCAGACTGAAAATGTTTGTTTTCCATTTACTCCATTGCTTCAAATTATTCCATTTAAACGAACAAACACACAGACCTAAGTGCATGTAAACATCCAGCACACATAAAAACACTCCAGAACAGCCAAAGTCCAAATGCAGAAATGTGTGTGTGTGTTTCTGTGTTTATAAATCAGGTTTTTTACCGAGTAAAATACCTGCCCTGCAGCCAAATGGTTCTGTCAATAAAATATACTGTATGTAGTACAGAGTGGTACAGCGCTCCAGCGTTTGTAACATTAACAACACCCTCTCAACACCAGGAAATATAAACAATGTAGCCACGCTCCTTATTAATGCTTTTATGATGAGTTTAATGAAACAACAATTTAATATAATATTAAGACAAACAGACAGTTGTTTTTAAATTTGCAGTAATTGAGTTTTCAGTGTTTGCTTGAAAATGTTATTATAAATGTTATCATTTTAAGGAGAAAGTATCAAATGTTGTATGTTAGCTATTTTTAGGCTAACTTCAGTGCATATATGGCAGATTTCTTTGGTTAAAATTGAAACTCTTTTTGTTGTTCCTGATGAACTCCAAGTTTTTGTCTTTGATTTGATTTGTATTTTTTTTCATTTACTTTTCCACTCAGTTTTGTTAAAAATACACAAGCAAACACTTTTACCACTACACTACACTATATGCAACCAAATATATTGTAATACATGGCAACACACGGTGCAATCCTGATGATAAAAAAGGAAAAATACACTGCCTGGCCAAAAAAAAAGTTGCCACCAAAAAAAAGGGTCATACACTCTAATATTTCGTTGGACCACCTTTAGCTTTGATTACAGCACATATTCGCCGTGGCATTGTTTCGATAAGCTTCTGCAATGTCACAAGATTTATTTCCATCCAGTGTTGCATTAATTTTTCACCAAGATCTTGCATTGATGGTGGTAGAGTCTGAGGTTAAGGTCTGGATGGGGTTAAGGTCTGGACTCTGTGGTGCCCAATGCATGTGTGAAAATGATGTCTCATGCTCCCTGAACCAGTGTTTCACAATTTGAGCCCGATGAATCCTGGCATTGTCATCTTGGAATATGCCCATGCCATCAGGGAAGAAAAAATCCATTGATGGAATAACCTGGTCATTCAGTATATTCAGGTAGTCAGCTGACCTCATTCTTTGAGCACATACTGTTGCTGAACCTGGACCTGACCAACTGCAGCAACCCCAGATCATAGCACTGCCCCCACAGGCTTGTACAGTAGGCACTAGGCATGATGGGTGCATCACTTCACCTGCTTCTCTTCTTACCCTGATGCGCCCATCACGATGGGTCCCCACTATCCTTCCAGTTTTTAATAATGCGTTGGACAGTTCTTAACCCAACTTTAGTCGTTTCTGTGATCTCCTTGTAATGTTTTCTCTGCTTGATCTCTGCTTTCGACATGGTTGTTTAGGAATTGAGAAGCAACTCATTGCACCAGTTGGGGTTAAATAACTTGTTTCCAGCTGAAAGATAATCGTCCATGCAGTAATTATCCAACAGGAGGCTTGTACCTATTTGCTTAGCTAAATCCAGGTGGTGACTTTTTTTTTGGCCAGGCAGTGTACATTCTACTGCTGGTACAGCTGATGAAAAACTGTATAATAACTACTGTATAACTATAATATTTTTGTGACACTTTCACAGTTTGATTAACAATAATTTTTAGAATAAAATACTCACACAAAAATGAACTCTTTGTTCCTAACTTGTAGTTTGCTGTTCTTATTTACCCACCTGTAACTTTTAGACTAAAAGAAAACAGGACAAACAAACACACACACTTTTCTAGAGTGAGTACAAGTTTCTCACCTGTTGCTGATGCACTCTTTTAGCTCTGTTGTCCAGGAGCTGACCTGCTGGTCGTTTGCTGTCTCAAATATCAGGTTGCCTTGATTAACCTGCACCGCCGAAAAAGGAGTACCGTTCAGCACAGATAATAATAATGACAACAGTCTAATTTAAATTGGAGTCTCACTGACAATTCTGCAGTTGTTGTCATTTATTCATTACCTCAATATCAACCATTCACTGGGTCAGAGGGCATTGTCTTACCTTTAAAACAAAAGTGTTTATTTTGTCTGGCATTTCTAGACGGTTGCACCGACGCACTTCTTGGATATCAGAGCACTGAGTCGTCAGCGTTGGGTTATGAGCCTTGCAAATGGAATTGAAAAGAGAAGTAGTTTGAGATACAAACAAAGAAGCTGCAGGGCACATTTATATAAAAATATAAATAGTTAAGTGAAAGCCAGAATAATTCTAATAGTTAGACAGGACAGGACCTGCATGAGTTAAACATTACCTGGGATAACACTGTGTTGCATACAAAAAAACAAAAAACAAATACTGTATATATTGTAAATAATATGCACAAAAATACATGCACCCTCCAGGTGTAAAGCCTATTCTATTAAAATAAAATATGTTCAAATATGATCAAACCTAAGAGGACATCAGAACAGCTGCCACACAGACTTCAATAAAACTATAATAATGCAACAAGAAACACACACACATACACATACCTGTCTTGGTCAGCTGTGTGGAAAGGCATTATGAAATGAAGCACAAGGCAAACATGTGGAACTTTAGCACTGACTTTAAAAAGTATCAACCTTTGCCATTTAGAAATGGCATTTTAAATGTTTTACTCTTGGTTTGTGAACAACATGGTGACTCTGCTACACTTCAGATTGAAGTGTAGCAGAGTCACCATGTGTCACTTAAGGGCCACAGTGTCACTTAAGGATTTTGAGCTGAATTTGTTTCCATTTTTATTTAACAAAAATAGCACATAATTAATATTTATTGCAATGCTATCATTTGCACTTTGAGCTGTTAGATTTAAACTTTACACTGTTCATATTCGTTATTGAATTGATGTGCCGTTTGTGGCAAAAGGGCCTGGGAGCACGGCCTGTTATCACATGATCTGTTTATATAACTTCATTATTGCCCCTGTCATAATAATTTCAAGGGCAAGTTCAGACACCATGAGAGCATTTTGCAATCAACACCAATTTCTGACCCTGTGTCAAAAGTATAAGCAGGGACTCTTAGAGTATGAAGAAAAGCAGAAGGAGAGCTAAAAAAAAAAAAAAAGAGGACAAAGCGCAGACGTAAATGGAGGCAGGACAGATTCCAGGGCTTTGTTCACTGGAGGTATTTGACTTTATGTGACATTGAGTGAGCCTGCGGAATGTCCATGTTAATCCTGTACACACATAAAAACAGACAGGAGCAGGGGGACATCAAAAGAGCAGATTAAGTACCCCCCACTGACCAATTTCCTCAGTTTGACAGCCTAATGAACGAATCCCATTCGACCAGCTCCGCTGCTCAACCACAGCATTGACTATTATCATTAAAACATTCGAGTGACACACTGATGAAAGAAATGTGACTCGTAGTAAGACCTGAGTCAGTGAATGAGGAACTGACTAAAAGTGAACTTGTGAAAACTGCTGTGACGGCTGAATTTGACTTGACCAGATGTTCAGCAAACATTTCTTTCAGCTACTTTAAATTCAGGTTTAAACATGAAGGTTTCCTTCTGACTGACCTGAGAGGAATAACGGGAATGTGAGACACATACATCAGGGTGATGTGTGTGTGTGCGTGTGTGTGCATATGCATATGAAAGATGAACACTGAACTCAGAAGTATGAACTTGATTCAAACTGCAGAGTCTAAATGTTTCCAAGAACAAGAATGATTTTTAAAAAAAATTTTGCTAAATTTACAACTTAATTATTTATTTATTCAAAGCTATCTCCTCGTCCATCTGATGAACTTTAAAGTGTTATCATCTCCACTAAGTCAAAGTGTTGACTGACGAGACGTTCACTGTTTCATAACCGCTTGTTCTTTGGCGCGGCCGTGTGTCACTGCGCGTACGAGCTCAGAGAGTGACTCATTCAGAGGAATACATTGAGAGAATGTGAATGAGTTTGTGACTAAGATATATGTTTGAGGAACCAAACGTGTCTGTGCAGGGGGGAGAAAAAAAGTGAAACATACGGTTGAGCAACAAGGAGTTGTGGATCTGTGAATCAACTTTATCTGGAGGGGTCGGAGTGGGGGGAGTTGAAGCTCAAAGCACATTTCCTATTACAGCAAAATGTTACTCCCTGGAGGATGAAGCAGGCCTTTGTCTCTTCTCTCTCTTTATTTTGTAATCATCAAAAATCTCCCTCAAGCATCTGCCCTTAAAACACAAACGAGCAATGTGGGAAAACTACGTGTGTTCATGTTTGAAACATGCCTGGAGCAAGGTCAGGGAAGTGTCATCATTTAAAGATGTTTACTGTATTAAAAATGACATCTGGCCAAGATTGACTTCAATCTGTGACAATGTAGGAAATGTCTGTTGTTAAAACACAGTGATGTTCAAAGTGATAGTACTGTTAAAGAAGTCCCTCAGTCCCTATCAGTCACCATTTGTTCTCTGACCCACTGTGAAGACGGAGACAACTTGATTTATGACACAAAGGAATTGTGTTATTCTCTGTCTAAACACTGCAGAGACTGGCAGTCAAATGGTATCTATCATCTTTTCAACACAGGGCTGCTTATTATGACCCTGCACAGACTGTGAGGAGGAGTGTGTCGCCGTAGTGTTTTTTTACTTTCTCCATGTGTACAACATTGATCAAATAGGCTCGAGGCCCAACGTGATCTTGTTATCAGTCAGACAAAACACACTAGCACATTTCCCTGTAGTTTAGCTGTATTTTAATAATATTCTAATTCCCGCAATCTTATTTTTGCTAGTGACTTTTTTTTTCTTTTTTTTCAATTTGTATTCTTTTCTTTACGGACATTACGCTCGAAATATCTCAAAATACTTGTATGTCGAGACGCTCATATCCCGAGGTTCCACTGTAACTGAAGAGAATAAAATTTTGTGTATATAATCTCTATCCCCTAATCTCCCATGGAAAACTCCAATGATTAGCACCAGACAGACAGGAGCAGTGGACTCACCAGGGCTAGGATTCAAACCCTCAGTCCTCCCATTACAAGCTCAATGATCTGCCACCCCTGACTTTTAGGAAAAATAATAATTTGACGTGGGTGTGTCGAAATGAACAGAAATGTTTTTCTTTCTGGTTTCTCAATTATGTTCTTGAGATATTCCAAATCATGAACCAAAACTCAGATTGATTAAAGCCTCTGCAGTCTGTGCTCTGCAGAAATGGACTTTTAAGCAAACATTTACATTTTGAAAAGCTTGTTTTCCAAAGTAAGGACTCATTATGATTAAAAACACCAATAATGTATTTGGTTACTTTCTGTATTTGAAGCAAGTAAAAAAAAAAAAAAAAGCATGCCACATTAGGGAAATTGTTGTGTTAGCAGCAGATATGCTGTTAACAAGCTGCCCTTAACAAGCACTAAGCATCTAGTGTTTCAAACCCAGGACCCTCTGCTCTCCACTACACTACCGTGCTAACCACTACACTATGGAACCGTAGAAGAAACAAAAATGATTGTATTGGTCACTGGACATTCTTACATACACATAGACATACTGTACCATCACATTTGTCATCTACATTCAGCCCAACTGTGAAAAAGCCTGAAGAGCGAGGGAGTTTTTATTGCCTACTCAGCACAAAACGACTGGGGTGTCATTGGAATAACTGTAATAACTTATAAAAATGGTCATTGGTATTCTATAGGGTTAACACGTGTTAACTTAACTTAACACTCATTCTAGAATCTCCATCCAGAGAGGCTATAAATAACATCGCCACCAAAATGTCATTAAAATCCACACAGTACTTTTAATGAAGAGTTATGTCTGTCAAAAACAAGTGCAGCCACAAATATTATCTCCTTTCCAGAGATAATATATTTCACATTAATATTTCATCTCACAGTGAGCCGTATCTGTTTAGATACCAACTGTAACAAAATAGCTTGATCAAAATTACCAATATGATGACAGAAATAGAACCGTGAACCAGCGTTGACTTTTCAGTTTTGACTTGCACTCTTCAGAGTGACTCAACCGTCACTACTATGTTTCAACTTGAAACACACCCGCTGATGTAATCATGTCACAGATATTGTACCGATGTGTTTCCTCTGCTGGTATGACGTTGAACTGGCGTAAAACTACTGAAACTATATTTACTGTATCTTCTGATGATCTAGCTGTCATTCATTTTCCCAGAGAAAACTTTTTTTTTTTTTTTAAAAAGAAAGAAACTCTTACATCACCAAAACATTTTTTTCAACATTACAGTGGCGTCTCAGTGGCTGTACTGTACGTGTCAGGGCTGATTTTCCAAACACACATTTACACCCTGAGACGTAACAGTCTACCGTTAATGAACTTAGCTCAGCGACAAAGAAGAAAAGGACACAGTGACAGATGCAGCCACACAAACTTTCTCACCCACACACTCATTGACAGAGTGCACACACACACACCCCCCCCCACACACACACACACGGGTGGTGACACAGGATGTTTGGAGTACAAGACTTTCTTCCCAGGGTCCCTTTCTCAGTCACCATGGCAACTGGGTTCACACTCAAAATTCCTCTGTCCCTCGGAGGGTCACCATGACCTGCTCTGTCCAGGGTGGATGTCAGTGTGTGTGTGTGTTCATGTGTGTGTAAGTTGTCGGACTGACCCTAAACTCAGCTTTTTGTTGACGATGCAGAAAATTTTATTCTTTAAGCTGCACGAAAACTCACAGATTTGGACATACACACATACACTGTGGTGTGTATTCTAGTACCTTACCCCAACTTTAACTATTACTAATGTAAGACTAGTCTTAATCCTTAGAACTAACTCAACTGTAACTATAACGATGTGCATTATACACACACACACACTTTTAAAAATGCAACTCAAGGTGTAACTACCTTTAAATATAAATTTAAAAAAGTATGTTCCTTTAATTTACACTTGTGTGTTATGTTCTGGGAAATCATTCCAAAAGCTGCCGAGACAAATATAGTCACTGCACTTTTTTTTTTATTTTTTAAACTTTTTTTATTTTGTGCCTAAAAAGAGGGTTTGTGATGTTTGGAAAAAAAAATTAAAATTGAATGTTTTAGAAGATTTTTCTTTGAACATCACTGAAAGAAAGATTTTAACCTCACTGTCAAGGCAAATTCTCTGCATGTGCATG